ACATTTTTTGTGCTGAAAAACCCCCACTCGGCTTATACTCGAGTCAATGTCTGTATTATGGCAACTTACATTGCCATAATACAGACCAGGACCGCCGGGCTCATTACAAGCCCGACGGTCCTGTTGGGGGCTGACAGTGAGTTACTTACCTTCCTGCAGCTCCTGTCAGCTCCCTCCTCCTTCGTGCAGCTTCCCGGTCAGCTCCGTTCTGCTCACAGTGTAAGTCTAGCGAGACTTGCACTGTAAACAGAACAGAGCTGACGAGGAGCTGCACGGAGGAGGAGGGAGCTGCAGGAAGGTAAGTAAGAGCTCCCTGTCAGCCCCCCCACTGAACTGCCAATGCCACTGGACCACCAGGGATTCAGTATTTTATTTTAATAATAATAATAATAATAATAATAATAATAATAATAATAATAATAATATTAAAATATTATATTATTATTTTAATATTTGCATTATTTTTTTTTAATGTTTTTTTGTCCCCCCTCCCTGCTTGTTGCGTGGCCAGAGAGGGGGGACAAAAAACATGTTAAAAAAAAAAATGCAAATATTAAAATAATAATATAATAAAATATAATATTAAAATAATATTCTATTATTATTAATAGAATATTATTTTAATATTATATTATTTTATTATATTATTTTAATATTTGCATTTTTTTAAAATGTTTTTTGTCCCCCCTCCCTGCTTGTTGCCTGGCCAGGGAGGGGGGACAAAAAATATTTTTTAAAAAGTAATGCAAATATTAAAATAATATAATAAAATATTATTATTTTAATATTATATTATTTTAATATTTGAATTCTTTTTTAAAAAAATGTTTTTTTTGTCTCCCCTCCCTGACCAGGCAACAAGCAGGGAGAGGGGACAATAATGCAAATATTAAAATAATAATAATATAATATAATATTTAAAATAATATAATATAATAAAATAAAATAAAAAATGCCCTCCCCTCATCCAGTTTACACACACTGCATTATATACACACACTCTGCATTCATTATATACACAAACACACACTCTGCATTCATTATATACACACACAAACACACTCTGCATTCATTCTATACACACACTGTAAATAAATATTCAATTAATGTAATTTTATTGGGATCTAATTTAATTTAGAAATTTACCAGTAGCTGCTGCATTTCCCACCCTAGGCTTATACTCGAGTCAATAAGTTTTCCCAGCTTTTTGTAGTAAAATTAGGGGCTTCAGCTTATATTCGGGTTGGCTTATACTCGAGTATATACGGTACAACATCGCAAAAACAGTCCGGTCTTTAAGAGGTTAAATGTGCATATGGATATAGTGCGCAAGTATCTTTTCTTTGGTTTTTCTTGTATGGATTGGGGCTGATGTGTATTATAGTCTTTTCTGCTGAAAAGAGTAGTGGGAGTTTCAACACAATGCTTAGTCCTGTTTGTTTCTATCTGTTCATTCTGACTTGTTTTGTGAATGGGACAACTGTTACACAACAATGCATGTTTAATGTAGACTTGGTTTACTCTAAACTTGTACATTAACAAAAAATTGAATTTAGTATTAGACCTCTGACACTCATTCAGTAGACTGATCAGGTCCTCTAATTATCGCCGAGGAAAACGATTTGGACAAATAAAAAGTGTGTGAAAATGGGCCAATCTGTGTACTGCTAAATATTTATATTGTTTTGCAGCACAGTAATAGGTGAATTTTCCTGCCATTTAGTTCACAGATTTAGTAAGAACAAGTAACCAATAGATGGGGGAAAAATAGAATGAACTTTAAAGTAACAGATCACAAACTAACAAAATAATAATGTACTGTTATTATTATTTTACAGAGCCAGTGATTATTAAACAATAAACAGTTACTGGTTGTCTCCTTAACCATCAACTAATTTATTGGTTGGGAGAAAGTAAACTTACATTTACAAATCGGGTTTGTATAGTGTTATGTCAACAAGAAATAAACTAAACAAAGCCACATGCAAATGCCTGGTAAACCCCGATAACATATAAAATGATAATCCTATTACATGATGTACTCAGTCTGCATTATTCAGAGCACTTCATGAAATTCTGCTGTCTGTAGGGGTTGGCATGTCTCTGGTAGTGAGAAAATGAGACACACAATTTAAAAATAAAATAAAAAAATGTTTCTTTTCTTTATATAGTGCGGGTATTTTATTGGAATTCTGTTTACACAAGTTGAATTGTGAAAGCGGAACATGACAAATGCACTACAGATAACATGTCTGTGGCAGGACTGATGTAATTAGGCCAGAGAAATATTATGTTAATGCACCTAAAACATAACTGCCCTTATAATTAGTTCAGATATGTTTGCTAAGAACAGTTTCTTTCCTTTTTTACAACCAAATGTCTCTTAACTTTATTTTTTTTATTTAAGTATATATCTAGGAGTTAAAATACTATTTTTGTGCTGACTTCTCCTTGGCAGTGAGAAGAACTATGAGATCATTGTCCACAAAGACTCCACAAATCTGTCCCTTAGTCATTATCTTATAAGGTCCACTTTATTTTTATTTTGCACTGATAACCTCAAATCTTTTCAAATCTAGTCATGTATGGGCTTGTACCCTCAATTCTTAAGGGCTTCTATAAGCACATCATCGGTATTGCTATCAGGACTCCTGTCATACTCTCTGACCATTGAATTGAGGGCAGATGGACTTTCTCAGGTTGGACACTATCCTGTCTCTTGCTCTCTCTACTCTCTCCTCCAGCTCTGCTTCACTCCCACCCTATTTGATTGATATTTCCTGTCCTATTGTGTTTTACACCCCACCTCCTATAGACTGTAAGCTCGTTTGAGCAGGGTCCTCTTCAACCTATCATTCCTGTAAGTTTTCTTGTAATTGTCCTATTTATAGTTAAATCCCCCTCATAATATTGTAAAGCTCTACGGAATCTGTTGGCGCTATATAAATGGTAATAATACCAAATATTGGTAAACAACCAGCACTTTATGTAGTTGTTGTGACATGGCCAATGTGTCACTGAGTAGATATCCCTGCTTTTCTATGGTTTATAAAGGTCTCTGGCTTCTATGGCTGTACAAATGATACAGGAAAAACTGAAACATCAAAGTTTTGGTTTTTTTAAATTATTTTTACTATACAGCTACTTTATTTTGCTGGTATTTTACTACATAAGGCAATGCAACACTTTTGTTTATCGTAAACAGAAAGACAAGGTCACATAACTGGTAGGTTAAAGATTGGAAACTAATTCCAATCACACCTTGTTAAACTTTTGTGATGGATATTGAATAGCAAATCATTCCCGCTCAGCATTGTTGGTGCACTGTAGGCTTGCTCTGCATTGGTTCCATTTATGTTCCTTGAAGCTAGATTACGTTCCTGATTTCCAGTAGAAACTCTGCCAGTTGCTTTTTACCAAGTGATGAGGAATGTAGCTGAACCTGTCTGACTAGCCTTTTCTTCCACTGTGGGTGTGGTCCGGACAGTGACGAGCATTCCAGTTACATTGAACCTGGTTGTTTTACATATATTGGTCTTGATTTCACTACAGATTAGTCTATTTTTCATTAACCATCTCTAAAAAAATTAAAAAAATGCCCTTTTAATATTAAGAGAAATCCAATGTACTTCTTCCTTGCTTCCCACAGTTGGTCACTTAATGATTTTTGGTCAATCTAACACTTGCTGTTTTCTCTCTAAAAATGTCTCAAAATTATTAAGCTTTATCAACATAGTTTCAATGTCCCTTTAGTTAATTATAACCGTAACATGTGTCTGCTATGATCCTTCCATAATCGTTAATGATTTCCAACCTCGCAAAGTGCTCTTCAGACTTTTTGTTTGAGAACTAAAATCTATCATGTCTGATAATGGCAACACATTATCTTTGAAGTCTAATTTAAACTACTTAGCCCATCTCTAAAGGAAGATGCTTTATCTGCTTATTACAATCCATCCTAGTGCTTGCTTTTGTTGCTTATTTTTATTTTAATCTTGCATATTGGTTCAACAGGACACCTGCTCTACCTGTGGCAGTTTAAAATCTGTATGTGTCTACTAGGAAAAGGCCGAAGATAATGTTTAAGTGTAAGAAATCACTGGTGTTGTGAAAATGAAAGGGATAGGTGGTGAGAGATCTGGAGTATTTCTGGAAGAGAATTATAGGTGATACTGGAGTTCAATTTCCACTATCTCTATTGCAGTAATTTAGGTGTCGCTTTCAGCCTGTGCACATCAAGTTTATTCTGTTCCAACAATGAACTAAAGGCACACCGTATCCTCCTACTTCATGAAATGGGAGTGACTGCAGAGAATTAGACCCCTTCATTGCATCAACTACTTACCGACTTTTAACTTCATGATTTCTGGACTAACACACCCTAGTTAGAGCTCTGTTTTCACACCCTGTGCTCTGGCTCTCCCTACCTAGAGGCAAACAATTGAGAAAGAACACCTTTTTAGATACTAGCAAATAAAATTAGGAGTTTTCTTATCCTGTCACAGGTGGCTGTAAGAGGTGTATTGTGATAGAATAAAAGACTTCTCCTGTAACTTTCAAACATCAATTATTATGAATATGTAAAATGGCGAGTTAAAACGTGTTAAGGAAATTCAGGTTCTGGATGTGCATTCCGAAAAGATTTTGTGAAACTCTCTAAAATATTGCCACCTGCTGGCTATAGAGTGGATCACCTTACTCAGAGGCCCTTTTCCATTGGTGTATTCTGTGACATGGTATTTAATTTTGGTCTGGGATTCAAATTATGTTGACATTAGCTCTGTGATCCAGTCTTTAACTATTTGAAACATTAAAACTTGTTTTGCAGACCGTTCAATCAGATTCTGTTATTTATTTTTTTATTTTTTTTATGGAGACCCAGCCTACTGGGTCTGATGAAAAGGATGTGCCTATTCTTACCCTTTAACAGATAACAAACATGGGACACAATTTTTAAGACCTTTTGTTCTAAAACATCCCATGGGACAATGCTGTGAAAAGTGTTTATATTTATACTGTGTGTTTGATTTTTGATTTCTTGCAAATTCTAACTTACACTTTATTGTATTAATACAGTTTCAGCTGATAATGGAGTGACTACGACTACACCAACCCTCAGTGTTAAACAAGGACAATGTAAGCCATATTTTATTTTTATTTTTTGTTTATTAGTTTCTTCTATGGGAAAACCAAGACTTTAAAGTAACAATATAGGGTCAGGAGCACAAACCAGTATTCCTGACCCTATAGTGTTAAATCAGTCATTTAGGTGGCTTGCACCTAAACACCCTTTAAAGGTAATAAAATTTGCCATGTTTCCAATGCTGTGTGGCTCCGCTGGCCCCTTATCCACCGCCTTGCTGACATCAGAATTTATTTATTTATTTTTTCACATTTTGAAAAGGCCCTAGTGGTGAAACGCGTAAATGGCTTTATTAATAGTGTATTTTATATAATTAAAGATTTTTTGGTTACTATTTGTGCCAACTATCTTTCTACACACTTTTCTACTTTTACCTGGCATCTCATCGATTTTTATCGCGTGCTTACAAGCTTATCCGAGGTGTTACCATAGTGCAGTTGGACTGCACTATACTTGTAAGTACATTTTTATTTGTTTAACAACTTTTACACCCTGCCAAACAGTGAGCACTATTAGCTGTTTTTATATATATCCCTTTCCTGAGAGTTGGACATCATTCCGCCCAGAGGACAATCATCCATATATCCCATAAGTGGGGATCATTCCGCTGTACGCCTGTTATACATGAGCTAGCTATAGCTCATTTAAATGTGAGTGGAATATATATCTTTTTCTCACATATATTGACCCTTACACTCTTAATGATTGGTCTCTTATCTTGTATCTTCCACATCACGAGAACAATCAGACTACTATAATCTGAGAGGAGACCCATCACCAAAAGCACCCTAAAATACATCTATTGCCACAGTGCAACTTCTAAATTTACTTCTAGCTATATATTTATTTTTGGTTTTCTACTCTGCAGCTACTGAATTTCAATGTGACTATACCGCTAATTACCAATCACCACGGGTGGAATGGAAGTTTGTGAATAATGACCAGGAAACAAGTATCA